AACGAGTTCAAAGAGCAGGTGAAAGTGAAGATGAAACATTCATAAATTCGAAGGAAGCGCTGCAATCGAGCTGGAGAATGGCAGAGTGATTCAGGAAGAGACGACAAATGGCTTATATATAAACGGTTTCAAATGTCGATCCAGTAGGAAATGCTTCCGTGAACACGGAACAATGGGCTTCGGGGATTCACTGTAAACGGAATATTTGGTTTGTATTATTTATAATATTTAGGCGTAAGTCGCTTTGATGTGGGACTGACTACACGCTAGACATCCAACCTTATAACACCTTTTAGGTGAGGCAGGGGTGTGATCCTCAACCTGGTCCGGAATGCGGACGCATGTAGTCAAAACGATGGAGACAGCCGCGTCCAACAACCCTTGCCGGAGCCAAATTGTCCATTGTGGGTGTAGACCCCAAGCCTTCGGCAGGCCCAAACCAACCGAGTCTGAAAGGAAATAGCAAAATTCAGCATTCTGGAGTGGAACTCAGCTGAGAAGGAATGAGGGGAAACAGAGCACGTCACGAAACAATGTGTGGAAAGCATAAAGGCCCGAAAACAAATATATATAACAGAAAAAGGCGCACCGAAGATAAATCGGAACGAGTTAAGTTGGAAAGGGAACACTGTTGCCTGGTCACCACTGGTTTCGGAGATGAAATGGATCAGACGGGTAGACATGAGAGAAAGGACCTAGAACATTAGGGATTATGGGTGACAAAACTAGTGTAGGTTTTACCTGAAACGTTTCTGTTCCACTGATCAAGAGCATCTATCTTCACTTTCAGGGTAATTTCACATTAGAATGCATTGTCAGAAGCGACAGTCTCTTCAACAAGCAAACCTTCATTCAAGTCTCGACTTGATAAGTTTCCAGTTTGAATTGCCTCCTTCTAAGCCCTCCTCCATAAACCAAAAAAAACACAAGAACAAAAAATTACAAAGTATTCAATGTCAAAGTCAAAGTCAAGAAGCGGCTTTAATTCTCCCTATAGGGGATGAACATTCAGCTACCACACAATCACTCTTCTTTGGAAATGACATGGTAACAAAACGTATGATGGATGATACGGTAAATATACAAGAAGCCAATTTAGCAAAGATTTTGCCTTAGAGTCCCAGGGATAAGATCAGCGTTGGTAAGAAACCGTGCCAGGTACGGCATTATAGAAGACTTGTATGAAGTGTTGCGTGCTGCTGTGTTTATACATGGAACGAGTGCTAGATGTGCAGATACATTGACTGAGATGAGGGTACAGTGGGTGAGATGGGTCAAGTAGTATTCTGGTAGAAAGTTTCTGGCATGCCCTAAGGTGCTGTGAAATAATAAACTGCACAACATACTCAAGGGATATGCCGCTGTATCGACATACGTGTTTGATGAATGTGCGTATGAGTTTGAAGTCTTTGATTAAAAGACCCGGAAAAATAACACGCATAAAGCCAGTGGGGAAGGATACAAGAGAAAACAAAATGCTTTATTAAGTGAGTTGGGGTAGATAGCATCTTCAAACGAATAATGTAAAAGGTGAGTTTTCTGACTTTGTGAAATGTTTCGACGACATGAGGAGACCAAGAAAGATTGCGGGAAATGGTGACCCCAAGATATTTGACGGAGCATGCTCTGGAAACTTCGTCACCGTTGATAATAACATGCTGACAAGAGTTCATCATTTCAATATATTGATCACTCTTCAGTAAAGAAAATAAAACATCATTACACTTAAAAGGATTCATTCTAAGATCGTGTTGTGAAGACCAGTCGGTGAGCAGTGAAATAATCTGCATAAGTTTGTGGTACACGGAGGAATTCGAAAACATCATGCCATGTACAAAATCATCTGCATACTTAATGAGCAGACAATCACCAAAAGCAGGCATTGAAGAAATATAGGTTGTGAACAAGAAAGGAGAGAGAATAGTGCCTTGAAGAACTTGTTGAGTGGAGGGTAAAAGTGAAGAGTTACGACCCTAATATTTGGCAAACTGTGATCAATGGGTGAAATAATTACTTAACAGATTAGTAATCTCCGGCTGAATGCCTTTCTCAGAAAGAGTGTGAAGAAGTTTGGACCCATCGACACAAACAAAGGCATCACTATAATCAAAAAACGTACCCGAACAACTTTACATTTCCTGTTCAAGGAGGAAGAGATACAATGAATGAAGGATGCCAACGCATCTATGGTTGACCTAGAAATGCAGTAAGCAAATTGATTGGGATCAAGTGCATTCAGCTGGGGCAGCATCTATTGTAGTAAAATCTTCTCTATGACTTTCAAACCCACAGAAGTGCAAGCAATCGGGCGAAATTTGGAGGATCCGCTTTTGGGTACTGGTGTGATAGAAGCCACTCTCCAGCAGTCCGGAATACAATGTTTAGTAAAACACAGGTTGAAGAGGTTGATGAAAACAGAGGAAAGGGAGGCTGCACATTCGTTGAGCACAACAGGTAGCAGTCCATCAGGACCGCATGCTTTATTGGACTTCAGGTTGATGAAGGTTTTGAATACTTCTGTTTGATCAGTACTTGAATTACCAACATTAGGAGCGGGGGCAGCTGCTGTGAATGGAATAGGGGTGTCGGTTTCAGCATTGCTGGATTAGCGATTGATATTATCCACATTGGCAGCTGGAAGATTCCCCTTCGTTTTGAGACCACAGAACTCAAACATAATTTTCCATGCATCCCGACAATTGCTGTTTGCCAGCGGCGTTTACTCTCCGCAGTTTAGCCTTGATTGCTTTTGTGTGGTCCCTCACCAAAGAATACTTTTTCGCCCTGAAAGCTTGTTCTTTCTTCCAACGCAATCGTTTAAGTGTGTGGGACGAAAAACGGTCTGACCGTATGTATAAACTTTCCCACGGGCAACACATGTCATAACAGAACTTCAAGTATTCAGTCACAGTATCACAAAATATAGAGGGGTCATTGTTTACAGCTAAAGAGAAATCTGTCTGATCTAATATATCTTTTAGTCTAGCAAGATTTTCGGGTTGGCACTGACTCCGACGAAGACGACGCTCACGATGCCGAGTGTAAAACTGATGATTGGATCCACTGTAGATCGTGGGAGATAATTTCAATGTTGCATGATCAGAGGTGTCAATAGGAGAACGACAGCGCAAGTTAAATAAACTCAGGTCGTTAATGAAATACAAATCAAGACAAGCCCTGAGTCTGGTAGGAAAGTTAACAACGTTTTGTAGTCCAAAGGTTGTCAAAAACGTGACATCAAACCTATTGAAGTCATCGATTGATAAAAATGGTAGAACACATAAAGACTCCTTTGCCTGATTTGCACCAGTAGTCATTTATGTATGTGATAACATCACTGCCTCGTTTGTGAACCGGAACGGGTTGATCAACTTGGCAGATGGAGAAATTGTCAATTTTGACCACGTTATCATCAACTTCGTTGTGGATCCAGGTTTCCTGAAGCATTGCAACTCCAACCTTTGAATATTCACGCCTCCTTATCAGATCTATTACTTCTGCCATGTTGCCAAGCAGGGAGCGCACATTTTTACTGCTGACTGCTGGAATGCAGATGTCTGAAACTAATTGTTTGCGTAGTGCGATCTGCAATCCAGCTCTGTTATCGGGAAATATTTTGAGATTTCCGTAAATTCTTCTCTCCCTGTTACGAACCGATTTGCCAAAGGAAGGTTAAATCCGGTGGCCAGAAGTTCAAAGTTGCATCATGAAAACGGCAGAGTATTTCACAGAATCTAAGATGACCATATATCAAAACGTTTCTATGGTAACGAAGGACGTGTATCCCAGATGAATCCAGTGAAGAGTGATTGTATAGTTCCGAGTCCAACGATGTAACGGACTGCGCGGCCAATTTCAAAGGCTCCGCCACCAAAGAAAATCGGTTGTTGTAGCTCGGTTGAACTGAATTCTATTTCTCCTGTTTGCCGAGCTTGGCAATTGGTTTGCAAACGTTTCATCACGAGCCGAGGTGACATCATCAATGCTTGTGAAGCGGCAGTCTTCTGCTTGTATCCGTTCGTTTATATGTGTTCTCCACCGACCAATTTTGTCCCTTGTTCTCATTGTGTTCGACTGGGTTCACCGTCAACCTGGTGCGTGGGGTTAAGATTGGTAGGGGAGGTGGTTGTCCATCCGTCCTGATTGCGGTTTCGGTCCGTTCTCAGTCAGGTCATGCCATGACTTTTTTGTTGCGTCATTTGATCCTTGAGTTGCATTGGCGTGTACACGTGATCCAGTTCAATGTGCCTGTTGATTGAGCTGATTGAGGAGTGCCTAGCATCGAGAAATTCTCTGGTGTGTTTTGACCGCGCTTAGTTGGTAATTTTCCCTGAAGAAAAGTCAAACTGATGTCCTTCCTGATCTTCGTTGAGGAAAATCAAAGATAGTGAGTCATGTCTCCTGCTTGGTGTTCACCGATCCTTGTTGATGGTTTTCTCCCAGTTTGTCCAATGGGGTTTTGAGCAGTTCTTGTAGTTTATTTAGTAGATAACATTGCTCTTGTCTTTCTCCATTGTTCTCTTTTTTGATTTTAACAGAATTCTCCTTATACAGGCGGTAGGTTTGCGGGCGACTTGGAGTCCATATGATCTGAGCAATCTTGCCGTCATTTCCGAAACGTCTTTGATGTACGGCAAGGTTGTTCTTGTTCCCGATTCTTCATCTGTTGTTGTTGTTGTTTTTCTCACCCCCACACACCAGTTTGACGGTGAACCCAGTCGAACACAATGAGAACAAGGGACAAAATTGGTCGGTGGAGAACACATATAAACGAACGGATACAAGCAGAAGACTGCCGCTTCACAAGCATTGATGATGTCACCTCGGCTCGTGATGAAACGTTTGCAAACCAATTGCCAAACTCGGCACACAGGAGAAATAAAAAAAATACAGAACAAAACAAATTAAAAAATACTATAGCTCTTTTTATGTATTGATGCGTTTGCTAGTTTGCTATAGCACATTCTGACGATTGCTGCGATTTGCGTCTAACGGAGTTTATGGTTAGGAACCATCTAGAGAGCTTAAATATGAACAAGTCGGCTGGTACCGATGGTATTCACCCGGCCATTGTGAAACCGTTAGCGGGCATCTTACCTCAACCAATGTGCCAACTATTTAAGGTAAGCCTAGAGCAAGGTAATCTACCATGGGACTGGAATATAGCCGCCGTGGTATCCATGAATAATGGGGGCCCAGGTCAAAAGTAAGCAACTACAGCCCGGTAAGC